ATCACCAAAGGTAAAAGTACAGCATCACTGACCAGAGTGCTGTGCTAGTGTGTCATGACTACAGTTCTATCACTAAAGACGTACAGACGGAGTGAACAAAGAGAGAAAAGCGCATGAGGGAGCAGGAAACATAGACGGCGTTCACAATGCATGCACACTCACACACAGCTAAAATTACATTGAAAGGGCATGAACTAGGCCACCACTCTGCATTGCTGAAGAGCGGTGGTTAGCAAACCGAATAGAAGCTTGCAGAGACCCGAATGGTAAACACTAACACTGAATATAGTTGCAGATTGTGCGCAGCATCAGCCTGGATGATTATGGGTCTGCTCATGTCTGGCTAATAATCAGGATGCAATCAGAATGAAAGCGGAGAGAAAAAAAAAAAGAGGAGGAAAGACTTACTAGTGCAAAACGAATTCAACCATAAAATAATTAACGGATTGTATAATAGCATGTTATCCTAGTACAGCAAAATAACTTCAGCACTGCTAATCTTTTTCATGCAGGGAATTTGGCATGATTGGGGGTATACTGGCAGGCCCAAACAGACTCACCAGACAACTCTTAGCAACTTCACAGCAAAGGCTGGCAAGAACAGCATTTAGCCAGACCAGCAGCGAGACCAAAACTGACAGGCATGACTCGCACCTAATAAGCATTACATACTGGAGCTTTCTATTAAAAACTCCTTCAGAGGGCACTCCATAAAACAGGCATTATCTTGATAAAAATATTCTGCATTAAAATTGCCCGTATCTTTTGTTGTTTTTCCAAGTTTTAACACATTTATCAGCTTAAGACAGTTACTGTTCCTCTAATAAGACCAAGAGCCTCAACCGGGCTACTGGCTCTGCACATCGGCACAGTGATGTTAAACAGGCATACTAGTAGAAAACACTCAACTTCTCCATTTATTTTGAGCACAGTAGCATTTTGCAGGAATCTGTTTATAAACTAAGGCAGTGAAGGGCATTAAAAATTTGACCTGAGTATAGTCGTATATGAGAAGTTAGTGGATTACCACAGTAACATCCATCCTGAGGGAAACAGAAATATTTGTACCATATTATCTTAGCAATGCATCCAGTATTTCTCAAGATGAATCTAGGGAACAACCAACAGGAAAAGTTTTTTGATTACCATATGCAGTAGGATTAAACTTTAAGAGATTCTGGATTAGGGCTGTTCGATATAACGATATATATCGGATGACGATATAAAAACGTCTATCGTTTCATTTTACGCTATCGTTTATTTCGTGGTGTCGCAAAATAAACCGTTTAGGGCAATATTTTTTCACCGTTTTGATGGTCACTGTAGTGGTTATATTAATTTCTTAAAGTTATCTCTTTCTCTTATATTTAATATAACCACACTACTGAAGGACAAGCGCCTGTTTTTATGCGTTGTGGTTAGCAACAACGA